TACTGTGTGAACAAAAAGATTGATGTGTTTCTTTTTTCACCTCTGAGCCAGCTTACTGAAATAAGAAACCAATACTGTCTGACTGTAATCATCATTAAGTCAGGGCCATTACCCTTACCCTCTCCCCCAAGTCATTTAGAGGAGACAAGAAAAATTGGAAGTAATTAAAAGAAAATGAATGACGTATACTGGCATCCTGTGGCAGAAAGCAGATTGTAAGGAAAGCTGAAAGCTGATCCTAAGTATTCAATACAAACAAACAAATCTTTCACCACAGACTCAAAGTAGTCGTCACATGTATTAAAACATATAAATTAATTGAATGCATTTGTATGCTATTCTGAGTTTTAATATGGATACAATGTATTTATGATATTGATGTGCAGTGGTCCTGCTCTCAGTTTCAAAACCATGAAAAATCTAAGGCACAATTTCTCCTTCTACTTCCTAATATGTAAATGAAGCAATCCCCTCTCTTTTTATTTCTATCTGTCTCGCTTCATCTACTTCTTTTGTCAGAATCGGATGAGTGGAGCCAGTGCTTTAGGAAAGATAAATCTTAAAGGATTTATCTGGCGGATAGCAGTGGAAAAACCCTTTTTTGAGGTTGAAAAATGTACCAAAAACTGTTCTCTCGTCAAGTTGCTTGTTAAGACCATGATATCTGGGATCCACATGAAATGCTTAGAGGCACAATCACAACACTGCTGATTGTGTGCAAGGGCCAAAGATTTTGGGGTCTACCAGTAAGTATAGCATTTACTTATTCCAGTTTTGTCAGTATGTGTTATATTATCTACATAATGATTTGAGTAAAAAGTTGTATTGAAAAAAAATTATTAATTAGATTTTTTTTAAAGGGGTTTTTTTCCCCCATTTGCTTTAAAGGCAGAAGCATGCAAGCTCCATGAGCTCCAAAGTTTCTTTGTTTTAACATTCCCTATTTTCCCTAAAATTCAATTTTGAATCCAAAATTCCTACCTTCGTTCTGAGACTTTTGGACCCCACTTTATGTGGCCCCTCTGTCCTTCTGTCACAGGACATACGGAAGGGTGATAAAGTGGCCTTAGACTCAAGGGTGACTCCTACAAATAATATCCCCTATTGGCCACAGGGATCAGGACCACCACGCTTGCCTAGTGCATGCCATATGGTTGCTGACGGATACGGAGGACGGGAACTAGGTTCCTCTGACCCTGACGGCAGGAGTACATATCATTTGTTAATCAGTCACCGGTTAGATGTTGCAATTAGTTGGGGCAACAACAATTAGCAGTACCTATGGTTCCTGTCTTGTTGATTAATTTTTAGCCTTACAAAACACTATAGTGCACATCTTTAGTTCAAAACTAATTTCAGTCAGATTCAGCTAAAAATTTTTTATCTTTGATGCATTTGAATTTCGCTTCTTTTCCCTCCATTTTTGAAAATTGTTAGTGTCATTTGTGTTCCGAGGAAGCATCTAAACAAGGCTCTGTCCATTATCAATCACTGTGATAACAATCAGACGATTATGGTAGTTAACGCTTATTCTGACATTTCTTTGGTCTTGTTTGAAGCTGAAACAGAAGAGGCTTATCATTAACTCACTCAGATTAACTCAGCCCAGCTATAGGAGGAAGCTGGATTAAAGTGGTACATTTTTAAAACATGATTTTATATGCTTATACAGAACTTCTATTAGTATTCTGATCTCAATATAGAGCACAAACAATAATTATTTATTAATTAGCATTTTATAATTTTTTTAAAGCATTGATTATTTTTTAAACTGTAAAAAGAAGTCATCGAGATTACAGTTGTTTGCGAATTGAAAGGTTTATGGCAATTGAAATGGAATATAGCTTTACAATTTAAAGGTTGGTAGACAATATTTCATGCCAAAATCATGTTAACTTGCATATTGTTCTTGTCTTGTGGGTATACTATTATAACAGAGAGAATATGATATGATATTTTGATATGTAGGTAGACTACTTGAGCCGTCCTCTGTGACATGTAAAGCGATGCTTTATATGGGTGTAACCAATATATCGTGTCACAATATAATAAATCGCAATAAAAAAATGCAACAATAAGTATCATGCAGTGACAATCTGCATTGTTTATAGTTCACCCAAAATAAAAAATTAAGTTTACAGAGTTTAAGTGTCAAATATTTTTTTGGGTCAAATATGGACATACCCAGCCGTTGGGTTACATTTTTAAATTACATTTTAAATCCAACGTTTGGGTTTGTCCATATTTGTCCCAAAATTGTGTTAAGACAACCCAGCATTTGTAATGTGTAATGTTGAATATAATGTATATTAATGCAATGGGGGAATATGTGCGTGTCCTGATTTTCATCTAAAATAATTCTGTATTTTCAGCTTCGGAATCATGAATATTTTAATTCTTGTCACCATTTTTGTGTCCTGTGCATTGGGAAGTCAAAACAATAATATTATATCAAGATATCAAGTTATGTATGGTGTTGAAACCTGATATGAGGGTATCATTACTATGTTTCTCATTGGCACTTTGCTGCTTGTCAGCATAGTCTTGTGATGTAAATCTGAGGGTTACATGTCAGTGATGTTTACAAGACTTGAGGTGTTGACTCTGACCAGTCTAATAAGTAAATGCATGATTTAGAAGCCCTCTGTGTTCACACACTGCTGACATACAGCTTTTCTGCTGTTTGTCATATTGCTGATCAAGGCAGAAAACACCATTTGCTCATGATAATTGTGTCTTCAATATTTGTTCTCGGAAAATGCCGCCCCTGCAACTGCTCATGGCATCATTAAACGCGCGAAGCAATTGTTGTAGGTGCCATGGCGTATATGTTCCACTCCAAACAAGTAGGGAATGATGGATACTGATGTTGACCAAATCTGACGCAAGTCCCTTTGGCCACAGTTTGCCACAAAAGGTCCTGATGTACAGTATTCAACTGGAGAATCCACATATCCCCCCCCCCCACATCACTTTAAACTGGCTGGCAGATAAAGGTCTTCCCCATGAAAGAGGCTTGTCAGACCATTTGCATCTGAATACCAACTGCTGTTGGCACATTCAAGGAGACTTTGGAAAGTTTGCATACTGAATCAGAGGGTGGACGCACATTCCCCAAGCCATGCCAGCATAGTTATAAGGGCAGAAAGTAGAGTGATGGTGGTACTTGGGAGGCCCAGGGCATGAAAGTTGGGTCAAGTGCACTCTATTTCACCTGTGTCAAATGGCTCTTAGCAGTTTATGTTGTTCTGCCATGTCTGAGACCTTCTGTAAAAAGCATACTGTCGTTCAGTAGGACCTGCATTCAGAAAGAGCTACTTTTCTTTGGTCCGATTTTGTGTGGCTTTTTATTATTGAAACCATCCTGTTTGTAAAATTAGCTTTTGGACAAAGTCATATATCATGCAAAACTATCATGCAAAATTTTATACAGACAATATAAAAAAACAGTTATTTTGCAATTCATGCAAACAAAAAGACACAATTAGATTAAATACCACCCTGCAAAAAAGTTCTTAATAAATGTATTTCTTTTAATGCTATTTACACATTTTGTTCTGGTTTTATGTAAGTTTTACTTAACCATAAACCTACTCGTTGTAAACAGAAACCTTGGACACTTTTGCTACATTTATGCTTAAAAAAAATAAATATTTGCCAATGGGTTATGAAAATTGTAATTTTATTTATATATATATATATATATATATATATATATATATATACGTATATACACACACTGTAAAAAAATATTTTCATGATTTGTAATCACAACATTATTTCTTTTGTCAAATCAACTTAAATAATTTATGTAGTTCAGATAACATAATATTTTAAGTTTCTGGTGATTAAATTCTTCTTCATTGTATTAACTCAATTTTTCCATTTCAATGAACTTCCATTTTTAAGGCAGCCAGGTTACTTATTTTTTTAAGTTTAACCAACAATATTTTTGACAGTTTTTATATATATATATATATATATATATATATATATATATATATATATATACCAACAATGTTTTTGACAGTTTATATATATATATTAGGGCTGTCAAACGATTAATCACGATTAATCACATCCAAAATAAAAGTTTATGTTTACATAATGTACAGTATGTGGGTGCACTGTGTATAATTATTTTGTATACATATAAATATACAGTACACAAATGCATGTATATTTAAGAAAAAAAAATATTTATATATAAAATATTAATTATAATAGTTATAATGTAAATCATATATAAATCGTATATACATGAAAATATTTCTTAAATATAACAAGCATGTGTGTAAACAAAATAATTATAGACAGTGCACCCACATATATTATGTAAACACAAACTTTTATTTTGGATGCGATTAATCGCGATTAATCGTTTGACAGCCCTAATATATAGTTTAAATTGCAACTTTGTTTTCAATTTTATTTTATTTTGGATTTTTTTTTTATTCAAATTAACTTTTCACAACTAGCCACAAATTGCTAAATGTTTTTGCGTTTTATAATATCCCTAGGTTTGTCATACCATATCATGTCAACCCAATTTACAAAGCGAGCTGTGCAAAACGCTGACAGCAGCAATAACAGGAGCTCAGCGCTAAAGGACATGCTGGCAAGCAGAATAGTAGATCAGATACAGAGCATCTGATACTGGCACCATTTTACCTCAAGCCCCTTGTCAAGAATTATTCTCAGTTGTTTGTGGCGGTAATCAAACAACCTATCTCTCCCATCACCATGCAACTGTTAAAAAATGTTGCGATCAGTATGTCGCAATTAACTTGCTTTTAATGACAAAACATCTCCTGTTTGTCCTGCTAGAGCCATTTAAGATTGAACTCTTTTCTCAAGCTGTTGTTTTTATCAATTGCCAGCAATGAGTCCTGGAGAGGGACAAGGAGGAGAGGAGGGGGCCGGGGTAAACAGAGCAGCCAAGAGAATTTAAAACAGGAGACCCCCAAGGTCAGACCTCATCCATTCCCCTGAGAGAGAACAATGACGGAGGAGAGAACAGGAATTAACATGGACTGAATGCAGCTGTGTGAGTGTTTGTGAGGGTATGAGAGGAGATGTTGGGAGAAACGGAAAGAGAGAGAGAGGGAGAGTGACGAGAAGAGCATAGATGAAGGAGAGAAAGCTGTCATATACACAATAAGATTAATAATATACCTTTTAGATGAGAAGGTCCAGGGACAAGCAGTGGGAGACCCTGAAAGTTTTGGTTGATAGTTTGTGTGATCACCTTTGCCCTGACGACCACAGGGTGCCTGGATCTACAGCACGTTTGGCCTTGTCCGCTCTGAGGTAAGATGGGATGAATTTTACCTGCTGAAAATCACCAGACTGTTCTGTAACCTTTTTTGTTACCTGTGTGATTTGAATGAGAAGAAAATAAGCTGTAATTAAGATGGCATGGAGTTTCATGAAAGGGATACTTCCATGTGGGTTTAGTTTCAAGAGATGACACTGAGGGAGATGGGTTTCCTGTGGTCTCCAAAACAAACAGTAATTCCCGTCTTAGCTCATGCTCCTTTCTGAATGTAACCCATCACAGTGGGTGGTGTGTTGGGTTAATGCTGTGTTAAGAAGCTACACAATCCTTTCATTGTATTTGACTATCAGTTATTAGTTATATTGTTTGACCTCCTCTGAGGACAAAGAACAACTGCTGTGGCTTTTATCACAAAACTCTGGTGTGTTAGAGGTGAAGTGTTTTGCGCTTGTACTGATTTGGCAAATTGACTGCAATTTTCATCTTGTATGAGTAGTACTGATTTAACAGAGGAAATGTTTCTCTTCTGCATCAGTCAATCAAAAACACTGGTAATGTGTTGTGAATATGGCAGCAAACTAGTCAACAAATTCAGTTATATTGTGTTTCTCCATTGGTCTGGTATGATGGGAACATGGACATTAGGGGAAAACAAAGCAAATTGTACATGAAAAAAAAAAATGCAAATAAATATAATTGTGCATAACTAGGATTTATTAACTTTCAAAAAATATTTCATATGATGAAGACCACTGTAGGACTGCATGATAATAGTAGTAAAAAGATAATCACAATTGTTATATTGATTAATGATAATACAAAAGTGATTTGAGAACAATATTTTTGGACACTTTAAAAGATTTATTCGAAATGTTAGACTGGTAAATAAGATTTCTGCAGCTGTTTAGTATTTATGGAATTATTTATTCATTTCCAGAATTGTCATTGCAAATTCATTGTAGATTATGTGAATTAATTACATGTCTTTTTTTCTTTTGTTGACCTTTACGATAATGCTTAGCATATTCCTCATGACAGTCCCTAAAGCATTTTTTTTTCATAAAAAATTGCCCCAACCATGGCTATGAGGTCAGTCTAAACATGCATTTCCATAACCAATTTGTATCACATCCCTTCCCCATTCCAATTCATTAACACCCAACTGTCTTCTCTAATAATGACCCTTTCCACTTCTAACCTTTGGCCCGAATCATTCACCCTCTCTCCTTTTTGGCCTGTAGCCCGCTGTCATTATCATCCACACCAACTGCCATGTGTTCAACTGATCCGATCGTTACACTTGGGGAATGAGTTGGTCTCTATGCATCATTAATGATTAATTAATGCCAAGCATCATAAATAAGATCATTTATATGGACGAGCTCCTCAGTTACTCTGCCCATTGTGAGCAAAAACCCAAAGGAGTAGAAGTGGAGGGTCATTTGAGAAGGAGTGTGTGTGTGTGTGTGTGTGTGTGTGCACCAACTGTCGGTGAATGCCAGTTTGAGTTAATGTTATATATCTAAAAAAATCATTATTATTCACAGATCTTCTAACTGTGTATGTGTTAGAGAATGAACAACAAACACTAATATTCAAAAGTTTGGCATCAGTAAGATTTTTCTGTAAAAAAAAGTATTCATTAAATGAATCATGAGTGTCAGTAAAGACATTTCTATTTCAAATAATTGTTCTTTTGAACTTTCAATCCTGAAAAAAAGTATCACGGGTTTTCACAAAAATATTATGCAGCAAAACTGTTATCAAAATTGATGAGACATTTAATTTCTGACAGTTTCTCTTGTTTTGTTCTCCAGGTTGAGAAGAAACCGTGAAGACAGGTTAAAGTCATGGCAGTTGGGTGGAGACCGGCCACCCTTCTCCTTGTCTTCATCCTGACGTTCCTCTGCCCCTCGGATGGAACCATGTACCTCTCTGGCCAGAAGCTGAGGTCTCGTCTTCAGAGGGATCGACGAAACGTTCGTCCAAACATCATTCTCATTCTTACTGATGACCAAGACATTGAACTCGGTGTGTTGCCTATTTGCATTTCTCTCTGTGTGTGGGTACATATTGTGAATTTGTGCACAGTGTGACTGTGACATCAAGTATGTGTATGATTTACAATTATCATATAATTTACTTAAATTCTCTGGAGAAGGGCATCTTACAAATTCATTCCAGTAGCATCGGCCAACTGCTGAGGTCAGTTGTGCCAAACATCCTGTTTTTCAACTCGATTTTTTGGCACTTTAATCACTGAAGTGGCAACATAATGGCCTCACTGCTGGTCTTTGTTCAGGCTTTTCACTCAAACCCTTTTAGGGAGGAAATTTATGGTCAAGCATCTGTTACATAAAACAATCTGGATCTCTTTTGCTCTGTCTCCCTCTTTTTCCAATCTACATATATTGCCCATTTTCCCCTAAAGGCTCCATGCAGGCCATGAACAAAACAAAGCGCATAATGATGCAGGGCGGCACCCACTTCTCCAATGCGTTTGCCACCACTCCGATGTGCTGCCCTTCTCGATCCTCCATCCTGACTGGGAAATATGTGCACAACCACCACACCTACACCAACAACGAGAACTGCTCATCACCGTCCTGGCAGGCCCACCATGAACCGCACACTTTTGCTGTCCACCTCAACAATTCAGGCTACAGGACAGGTTAGTAAACAGCATGGATCTGGATATGCAGTATTTATGCAATACTGAAGTTGCTTTTTGATCTCAAAATATTCCATTTCTGTTACAGCCTTTTTTGGGAAATACCTGAATGAGTATAATGGCTCTTATGTGCCTCCTGGCTGGAGAGAATGGGTAGCTCTTGTGAAGAATTCTCGTTTCTACAACTACACACTGTGCCGGAACGGTGTCCGAGAAAAGCATGGCTCAGAGTATCCGAAGGTTGTCCGCTATCTCTTTTCAAAGAACATGTCTGAACATTGTATTGTGAAATTTCCCTACACACAGTAGACCAAGTGTAAAACTGTCATATCAGTTCAGCTCATTCACAGTATTTACCCAACATATTTAAAGGAGTAGTTCACTTTTAAAAAATCTTTTGCTGATAATTTACTCACCCCTATGTTATCCAAGATATCCATGTCTTTCTTTCCTCAGTCGAAAAGAAATGTTTTTGATGAAATTAAGAAATTAATTAAGAAATTAAGGTTTTTGATGAAAACATTCCAGGATTTTTCTCCATATAATGGACTTCAATGGGAACCAAACGGTTCAAGGTCTAAATGACAGTTTCAGTGCAAACTGTAAACTGTTCAAAGGGCTTTAAATGATTTCAGACGATGAATAAGGGTCTTATCAATGATGATGCGCGTTTGTGACTCTCCTATTCGAACATGTTCATCAAAATGAATGAATCTTTTTCCTGAGTCAACTCGTTCATTTCCTTCGTTGAGTGAACCAAATGACACGAAAAAAGATTTGTTCATTTTGATAAACGAGTTCGAACAAGAGAGTAACGAACGCGTGTCACAGAACAGAGCAAGGCGACCATTTGAGCTTATAAAACTTAAACTTTGTTATTTTTTTTTTTTTAAATAAACAATCATTTCGCTTGATAAAACCCTTATTCATCGTCTGTCCATCGTCATCCGCTTGGTTCCCATTGAAGTGCATTATATGGAGGAAAATCCTGGAATGTTTTCATCAAAAACCTTAATTTCTTTTCGACTGAAGAAAGAATGACTTGGACATCTTGGATGACATGGGGGTGAGTAAATTATCAGCCAAAGTTTTTTTGAAAGTGAACTACTCCTTTAAAGACGCATAATGTATTGATATCAGATCGGTTAAGATATTGAGTATTATTTAACTATGCATGCTCATTTCCTCTATTTAAAAGTTTTAATATTGGTGAATCTTTGAACATAATAATTGACAAATACGATCTAGGATTAAATTATACACCAATGTTCAAGAGTCGGTAAGATTTTTTTTTTCTTAAAATAAATTAATACTTTTATTTAGCAAGGATGCATTCAATTGATCAAATGTGACAGTAAAGACATTCACAATGTTACAAAAAGATTTCATTTGTAATAAATGCTGCACTTTTCAACTTTATATTCATGAATCCTCTCAAATCGCCCTGACTGCTTTCAAAAACGAAAAAAAAAAAAATCTTACCAACCCCAAAATTTTGAACAGTAGTGTATGTGTTTAGTAAACACATATTGATACTTTCTTGTATCAGACAGATTTCCCTTTTAATATGACTTATTTTACAGGACTATCTCACGGATGTAATCACAAATGACAGTATCAACTACTTCCGTATGTCAAAGAGGATGTACCCGCACAGGCCTGTGATGATGGTCCTGAGCCACGCTGCCCCCCATGGGCCGGAAGACGCAGCACCTCAGTACAGCAGCGCCTTCCCTAATGCATCTCAACACATGTAAGAACCTCTTTCTCTCTCTCGCTCACTATGAGAATTCACAGTCTGCATGAGGTTATAGCTTCATAAATCTCATTCGGTTTAAATTTCTCAGTTTCCAGCACTTTATCAAATGTTCCCGTGACATTTGAGATACGACAGCCTAATAAATAATGATCGCTGTATGGTACTTTAGCAACTATTCTCATTACACATTTGGTACTTTTAATGAACCACCTCTTATGACTTACTTTCTTGGTTTATTGCAGGAACAGAGGTTTGATTATGTATTCTGTGTACTGTAATTGTTTCCATAGTGCCTCCGGCAAATGAGTTTATACAATAGGCTCAAGAGAGAAATATACAGTGCTATTATTATAATATCATGATTTATTATTTGCATCGGTATTCATTCATAGGTCCCATTAGAGGTATAAAGTCTTTTGCTAGTGCATAAACTAAATTAGCATACTTTTATATCTAAACACATGTGCAATCACAAGTGCACTGTTATTTTACTGTTTTTTTTTAAGTTATCATTTTAATGGCTGATTCATCAAGCTGCAGCTGAAATATACAATGCAAATTTATGCAAATCAGTCTTCTCAAACATGTCAAACCAAAAGAAGACAATGCTTTGGCCGAATACAGCACAATGAAATTTCTCAGCAATGTTATTCAGCACCAGCAGCACACAATGAATTGCATACAAATCTTCTCCATTAACAGACGTTTGAACACTCATGTTATGCATAATAAGTAAGACTGTGACTAAATATTGTTGTTAAAAATGTTAAGTTTTATTCATAGACAGCAAAGTGTATAACAAATGTGTCATTTCTTCCAATGGCACAGAAAACAGCTTTTAACAATTCTGAAAATGTCCCCACTCAGAACACCAAGCTACAACCACGCCCCTAACCAAGACAAGCACTGGATCCTGCGTTACACGGGACCCATGAAGCCTGTGCACATGCAGTTCACCAATATGTTACAGAGAAGAAGGCTGCAGACCCTGCTTTCAGTGGATGACAGCGTTGAGAAGGTCATTGATATCATGATAACTTTACAATATAGCACATAGATCATATTTTATATAGAAGTTAGTTCCAGTCCTTATACATAATCTTTTTTTTTGTCTATGTGGTGTTATAAGAGTGCTGACAGTACTTCTATGTTTTAATCACTCCGCCGATCTGTCCGTTAGTAGTGTAAATTTTTCATTGACTCCTTCTGCAGGTTACATACACGTTAGTAATTGACTGAATGAGTGAGTAATTTTAATAATTCATTAAAAAGAATTCATGATTCATTCAGCAATGAACAAAGAAGTCACCGTTTATGAGTCAGTAAATCAGTAAAGTCAGTAAATCATTCACTGAACTGATTCATTCAAAACACAGATTGAGATTTAGGAAAGACACGCCAACTATTGATTATTGCTTTTGAGATACACAATTGTTCTTCTGTGACTTCGATTGAAACCATTTCCATTGGCAGAGCAAAAATGTTCAAACAGAAACTGGCAATATTGTGTCAAGTGTACGTAACTGTTAAAAATGTTAGGGTCAGTAAGTATTTTAAAGAGATGCATAGTTTTATTCAGAAAGAACACATTACATTGATTAAAAGTGATTTAAATTTTCTATTTTGTTTTAGGTTTCCACAAAAATATTGAACAGCACAGCTGTTTTCAACATTGATAATAATTAAGAAATGTTTCTTGAGCACCAAATCAGCATATTAGATTGATTTCTGAAGAATCATGTGACTGAAGACTAGATTAATGATGCTGAAAATTCAGCTTTGCCATCACATGAATAAACTGCGCTTTAAAATATATTCAAATTGTAAACTATTAAAGAAAATAAAATGATTGAATAGAAAACTACTAATGAAAAAAATATTTTAAATTGTATTCATATTTCACAATATTACTGTATTTTATTTAAGTATTAAATAAACTTTTCAAATACATTAATAAAACCTACCCCAAAATGTTGAATGCTAGTGTAAGTTACACAATATTTACGTTTAAAACTGTTTTATGAAAGCAATAATTGTTGTTAGTTTACTAGAATAACTAGCAAACCCGACAAATACCTTGACAAATACCTTGTACATGTAAACCCACAGTACTTGGCAATAAAGGTGATTCTGATTGTTGAGGCACATCAGCATCTAACACATATGAGAGATGCCTTTGAAATGTACAGAAAATTTTAGAAATGGATGTGTGTAACTAGCCTAAAAGTTGTAACATGCTGTTTACTATTCCCTCCCACAGATTTACAATATGTTGGTGGAAACGGGGGAGCTTGATAACACCTACATGATTTACATGTCTGATCATGGCTATCACATTGGCCAGTTTGGCTTGGTGAAGGGCAAATCAATGCCATATGATTTTGACATTCGAATCCCCTTCTACCTCAGAGGGCCGAATGTGGAGGCAGGTGGCATGTGAGTCAAAGACATTAAGCTCACAACTTTACTGAAAAATGCTAAAAATAACACAATATTGATTCTAAGTTTGTGATCTCCTGCAGTAATCCTCACATAGTCCTGAATGTTGACCTAGCCCCTACCTTGCTGGACATGGCCGGAGTGGATATTCCACTGGAGATGGATGGCAAGTCCATCCTCAAGCTGTTGGAAACAGAACAACCTGTCAACAGGTGCTAAAATCCACCAAAATAAACATTTCATGCTTACAATAAAAAAACAGCCTTTTTCCTCATTATATTCTTCCAGTTTTACCAGGTTTCATTACAAGAAGGTGAAAGTGTGGAGGGATTCATTCCTTGTAGAGAGGGGGTGAGTACATTTGATCAGGCCAGATGAACCCATGCATTTTTAATTGAACTCCGTATCACAAACTCTTACACTGTATCACTCTGAAAAAGATTTGTAACCCCAGAAATTGATTAGACACGACTCCATTAGAGAGGCACCAGATGGCACACTGACATCGGACACATCTACAAATTTTGAATAGGGGCTGTATCTAATTCTTTGCTGTTTTTGAATGGCGACCTGATGTGATCTCTTTCCGATCTACAGGAAGCCTCTGCATAAGCTAGCAGATGGCAAAGAGGTGGAACAAAATTCGCTGCCAAAGTTTCAGCGGGTCAGAGACCTGTGTCAAAGAGCTGAGTACCAGACTCCCTGTGAGCAACCAGGGCAGGTAAATATTCCCTTTCAATTACCATGGCATATCCCCTTGATTATTTCCAGTGATTGCCATCTGTCTAGTGCTTTCTAAGTAACCACTCCTCCTCTGTGCAGAAGTGGCAGTGTATTGAGGATTCCACTGGTATGCCGAGGCTGTATAAGTGTAAAGGGATGGCGGGTCTCTATGCACCTCGTGCTCTGGGCCTGATGGCTGCCAGCAGGGGAGAGATCAACAGAGCTCATTCCACATCAGACCAATGTGATTGTGAACCCAAGATGCCTCTCAAGAGGAAGAAGGCACTCACCAAAAAGAGTGCGTTACAGAATAGTTTTTTTTTTTTTTTTTAATGGACAGGACTAATAATAGTGTATGCCACAGCATTGTAGGCAGCACTTTGACATATAGCACAGCTGTTGAGTTGAAGTCCTGGCTCAAGGTCCTTTGCTGATCTTCTCCCTGTTATTTCCTGTCTTGTCTAATCAGTTATAAATATTTGAATCACAATTTTAAATTATTAATATTAATGGGGTTAGTTCCAAGGAGGCTTGGAAAAAGCTGTTTGTTAGCGTTCCCACTCATGAGGCAGTTACAATGTTTGGAACTCTTTGGAAGTGTGAAGTTTAAAATTTGCGGGAAAAAAGGTATTTTAAGGTATTAAGTACCCCCCAAAATGGAACTTGGAAACATCTACTATAATATAATGAAATATTTCAGATATATGTATGTAGCAAAATTATTTATAGCAAAAATAAAAGAAAACCTGGCTAGTTTTAAATGGCAGCCAATGAAGAAACATGCTTTTTGCAGCTAGAGTGGCATCAAAAAGGGCTAACCAATTATGCTCATCAAAACCATATCCAACATTTAAATTTTGACACAAATTGCCCACCTTGCCCATGTCATACCAAATCTGCATTATTTTCTTATTCTTGGAACAAAAACGAGATAGTTTGCAGAATGCAGATATATATATATATATATATATATATATATATATATATTTATACTGTCAAACTCCAAATAGGACAAAAATATACCAGTTCCTTTCATTTTTAGGAATCGCGTTTATATAAAAGATCAAATTAGACCATGTCGTAGATAAAATGTAGTTTAAACAATAATATACCTGTATCTGTAACAAAGTCCATATACAATATTCCAGAGTTGAAGACCAAGAAGAGTTTGCCACGGAATCGTTGGGCCCGCTCTGTCACGTATCACTTGGACTCAGATGTGTTCACTCTGGACCTGGAGAAGGGCTACCAGCCCCTCAATCTGAACACCAGCCTTATGCTAGGCAGAAAGCAGGCAGTGTATGGAGAGAATGAAGAATACAGCGGAATGGGACCCGCAGACAACAACTTCAACACCCTCACGCCACCTGCTGCTCTTAAAGTCACCTACAGGTTCATTACAGACACTCAGTTACTGTGGATGATAACAGTTGAAAAACTATGAACAAATCTGTGGTTTCTATTATGTAAAGCTTTTCTTTTTTGTTCAGATGCTCCATTCTGATGAATGACACAGTCAGGTGTGATGGTGGATTATATAAATCTCTACAAGCATGGAAAGATCACAAACTACACATTGAGCATGAGGTAAGATCATGGTTACATTGTTCTAATACACCCTGAATAAAAACAAAACAAAATAATGCTTAAATTTACCACCTTCCCAACTAACATGAACGTTCAGACAAAGTTTCCTCAAAGTTATGATCAAATGTTCATTCAGTAACATAGAAAGTTATCCATTAATTTTCTCAAAACAGCACAAAAAATATTTCTTTACATTGAAACATTTAAGTTCGTCTAACTTTTTTTTAAAAGTTCCCACTTGTTTCAGAATTTTTCAGAGAACATTCAAAAGTAACGCTCCCATAATGTTTACGAACTTATAAAACGGAATGTTCCCTTAACATTTGTATAACCAAGAAAAAAACGGTATTTTTAAAACGTTAAAAACTGGACATTTTGAAGATTCAGAAAACAATATTTTCCATAACTTAACAAAACCTTCTTACAAAATATTTTAGTTAGCTGGGTTATGTTTTACTTTTAACCTCTTTTTGCTCTTTATGTAGATTGAGACTTTGCAGACCAAAATAAAAAACCTCAGAGAGGTCAAAGGGCATCTAAAGCAGGTTCGACCAAAAGAGTGTGAATGCAACCAAAACACGTAAGCTTTTCATACTTTCATTAACTGCTTAATGTTGGCTTGATCTTTTTTTTCACACAATTGACATAATTATGTAATATTTGCTTTAAAGGTATCAGTACAACAATAGAGCACTGTTCAAACTCAAATCAGGGCGCATACATTCTGTCAAGTAAGTTTTCATTCATCATCTGTCATTAACTTCAAGAAAAGGCAGAAGGATTTGATTTGATTTGAGATCTTTATTTTGAACATGTAAATAATAATAAATAAAAATATAGATATTAATCAATGAAACAAGGAATATCAATTAAAAGAAACAAAACAAAAACAAACAAAAAAACAAAAACAAAAAAACAACCCTCTATTTACATGTGCAAAAAGGAGTAGGAAGAAGTAAAACTTATGTACTCCTACCCCCCTATACCATATTTAAACAAATACCTAAAAAAATAAATAAAAAAGAAATAATTAACATTAGGATAATGCCTAATGTTGAAATCTAACGAACATCCTTAGACAGTTAAAGAAATCTATTCTTTTAATCTAAGTGGAATGACCTCCAAAGATAAGAAACAGTGGCTGATGAAAGAACAGAAACGCAGGAAGAAGCTGAGGAAGCTCCTGAAGCGCCTCCGTAATAATGACACTTGCAGCATGCCTGGCCTCACCTGCTTCACACATGACAACCAACACTGGCAGACCGCCCCCTTCTGGACAAGTACCGTATAGCACATCACTCCAGTTGTTTTATGCCACAAAACATTGACATAATAGTTAAATAATTTCTCTTAAATTGTTTTTGTGTTGTCAGTGGGGACGTTTTGTGCTTGCACGAGTGCCAACAATAACACCTACTGGTGTCTGAGGACTATCAATGAGACGCACAACTTCCTATTTTGTGAGTTTGCCACTGGCTTCCTGGAGTATTTTGATCTTAACAGAGATCCTTATCAGGTAGATCTTTATCTTTTTATCTCTTTTGCCATTTTTGATAATTTAATAAGATTTGTCATGTAGTCATGGGAACCCCCATAATTTCCACTGCAGCTGATAAATGGCGTGAGCACGCTCGATCGTGATGCGGTGAATCACATGCACCAGGAGCTCATGAAACTGCGCAGCTGCAAAGGTCACAAAGAGTGCAATCAGGAGACAGGTGAGTCATGCCACGTGTTTGAGGAAAATCTTTGCTTTGATGTTGCATTTCAACATAATACCAACAAATATACAATTTATAACCAAGTGACTCATATCTCTCACAGGTGGTAAAGAAAGAAACTCTTTGTATGATTATAGGTATGGCTTCATTCTTATGTTTTATGGCTGATTAAAAAATAATATTATTAATATGTTTATATCTTCTATGTGTTCTGTATATATTTGAGATAGAAATCTTTTGTAACATTATTAATGTTATCTTTTGATCAATTAAATCTTTTGTAGCATTAAAAATGTTATCTTTTGATCAATTAATGTCTGCTGAAAAATATTATATTAAAAGAATCCTGAAAAAAATGTATCACGGTTCCCACAAAAATATTAAGCAGCACAACCGTTTTCTACATTGATAATAACAGGAAATCTTTAGATCATTAGAATGATTTCTGAAGGATCATGTGAGGAATAGAGTAATGATGCTGAAAATTCAGCTTTGCAATCATTTGAATTTGAATCTTATAAAAAAATAAAAAATAACATTTATTTTAAATGATAACAATTATTAGTTATAATAATAAATAATAATTATAATTAATAAATAATAATTCCTAATAGTATTTTATTTTTTTATTTTTTTTATCATGAGACTTCAAAGAATTATTATATAGCCTACTCTTTACTATCTATTAATTAGTTATAAAGTTAGTTATAAAGGCTGTAACAGATCTGGATCTTGGGAAATAAATGTCCTGTGTTTGTGTGTGTGTGTGTTTTACAACATAAACATGGTTTATGAGGACACCTCCTGTGTCCTACAATATACAGTTTGAACAGTATAAAAACCATTATGCTTATGGAGAGGATGGTAAAACAATAAATACAATAAAAAAGTGTTTTTTTAGGGTTGTGTTTAGGGGTAGGGAGAGTTAGGAGATGGAAGTTTGCACAATATAAAAGATATTTTCTATGGAAAGTCCCCATAAAAAATGAAAACCCAACTTGTGTGTGTGTTCTCCACATGCTTCAGGCCGCTTCATCGTCGAAAGAGGCCAAAAGTGAAGAAACCATCCTCCAAATCAATGTGAGTTTGTTGTACACACCATCTGCTTAATATAATTCAGCCAGCCAGTTATCAGCACTAATCCTCAATAGTCCTCCTCCCTCTGTCATACAGTGTGTTGCATGCTGTCCCTCACTGCATGAGCAGCTTTTCAATTCTCCAGACATTCCTTTAGATGCACACGTGACGACAAGAGTCCTTCATTACTGATAAGAAAAAGTGTGTTAACAAAGTACAGAGCGGTGCAGCCCCACTGCCATAATTACACTTTGTCCTCGTTTTGTACATGACTTTCTTTTGTCTTTATGCTGTTCTTACTTTGCTCAAACCTAGACTCCTGTTATCAGAACTAAGATTTTTTTTATTGCCCGTTTACACAGGGGTCAAATTTGGGAAGGATGGGTAGGTTAGTTTATCACTACTATCCACTGTGAAGGATGCACAGAGGTGAGGAATGTGGACTGATGAACTCCTGACCCGAGGACAGCAAGTGAACTCTGCAAACGTCCAGCCATTATGAAGTGTGGATTCGGAGAGGGTCATATCAGTGTGGCCATCTCATTTTCTCTCTCAATGCATTTTTCTATTTACAGTTTTTGATTCACTACATTTTTGGGAACTTTTTAATGAAAGACTTCTTCCATGGAAACTTTTTACCATAAGGGACTTTGATGGATTTTTTTTTTTTTTTTTTTTTTTTTTTTTAATGAGCCAATATCTATCCAACATGGCACCTAACATTTCGTGGCTAAGATCAGTCACGTTCACTGTTCTCATAAGACAAGAAAACTCACATGACTCATCATTGAGATATAAACTTGTCATCTATAAACACACTACTCCTTTATTATTCCTGTAAGACTGTGATGTGGGACTCTGGTACTGTGTTCAATAGAGGGCCGACATGCTCTGACTTCGTTGCTGCTGTGGATATTGTAATATTACTCTCAAACTGAAAATCCCAAGGAAACGTCATGATACTTTACACATGTTGTGCTATATAATAATAATGTCACCAACTTATGTGATTCCGTTCATGAAAATGTTGCTTTTTGAAACATGGTGCTACTGTAAGTTAACACTTGGAACTGAATGCTGCATAATATGTATTTGAATGTATGTGCAATTAATGTAAATATTAGTAGCCTATATTTTTACCAGACTGAATATATGGGAGTTTCTCTTCGTGAATGTTCTGAAAAGAGAGCACCCTCAGTCTAACAAATGTGTTATGTTTATCTGAATGCACTTATGAATATAACATACTAAACAGTGTTGGAGTAATGATTTGTTATAATAGTTAAATTCAAATATATGTGTAGGTGTCATCCCAAACCAATTCATTCCCTTTTTGCTGTTTTCCATTGGCTTGAAATGTGGAAAGCAATGAAGGTATTGTAGTTGGTGAATAAAGTGTTAAATACCCAGGTTTACGGCTTTTTCCTATTCCCCATATATATATATATATGTTTTAGAAAGAAACTACTGCTAAACTAAACCCAGTTTAAATCTAATGTACTGGTCTTTGCTGGTCTCTCATGTTTGTCTGTTAACTGGTTTTGTTTGCAGGGGTTTTGGGCACTTTTAAGCTCAGTAGACTGAGACCATCCGAAGACTTTATCCAAACTGGGAGACCATTTAAACCAGTCTAGTTTTTTTTTTGTGCCTTTTATGAATATTCTACATTTTTATGTTTTACTTACAAAAGATATGTATGTGGGTCCAGTTGTCTCATCTTGTTTTTGAAACCTAAATCTAAGCTGGTTTGCTGGTCTTGGTTGTTTTCCCTGCATGGTGTTGGTTTCGGTGGTTTTAGAGTGGTTTGTGTTCACCTACAGTAGGCCATGTAGCTGATCATCTACATCAGCTGAACCCCATTTGAGCTAGGATGGGATACCATTTAAAAAAAAACTAAAACCAGGCTTTGAGACCAGATAGAGCAGCCTTAAGCTAAACTATTCTACATTTATGGTGCTTTTTCAGAAGGATATCATAACTGAGAGACATTTTGTGCTCCGTTGCGTTGCCTTATTCGCCAGCAGGTGGCGCTTTCTGAATAATCCTAGATTCTGTAAATCCCTTCAGGCAATCAAATATATGAATCCAACTCCACCTGAACTTGCACCTGTCTTGCGCTATAAACCAATACAAAAACTCTCCACCACATGTAGTTTGTTTTACTAAACTTTTTGGGCGTCACATTTACTCAGTGTCAGCCAGGTAAACTGGAGTTTCAGTATCTCTGTGTAGGGGGTGGAGAGAGAGTTCATGGAGACACCCCCCAGCCACCCAGACCAGCTCACACGCATGCAGCCAGCACAGGCGCGCGAGCATTCAGTACTGTGTGAACATATCACGAAGCCCTCGCGCTGGACGTCCGACAGACCGAGGAGATAAAGTTTTACCGTCTTTACGCTATCCTTTTATACTTTTTTGTGGTTTAACCGTACAATGTGAGAAGAAATGGCTGGGAAAAAGTAAGTTTGAGTCTTTCTTTTGGAAAATTAACCAAGTTTTGACGAGAAGTTAGCGCGGTGTCTCTCTTGTACGTTAGCCCCTCAACTAACGTTAGTTTGAGATCTGTACATTAACTATTATTCACCATGAAACTATAAATATTGCTCAATTTGCTTAAGTTGTCGGCTATAAATTAGTATGAAGAGAAATATTGAGATTGTGTGAATGAAGAGACGATTTTCCCACGACTCACGAGGAGTCGGTCAATGTGATGTGTTTTTCAGTTTGCTGCTGTCGTTAGTTCAGTCGTGTCATTAAATCAGCATCACTGGCGGAGGCCAACTGTTTCGGCCATATGTATGAACTGCTTTGATTTGAACCGACTTCTCTATAAACACAGATTATTGGCTAATTTAGTGTTCCTCCTACTGTAATCTTGAGACATGGAACAAAACCGGTTTCACAAATTTACCCGCCGTTCTTAAGTAGTGCTAATCAGAGATGATTAGTAGTAGCAGCTAGTTGGCTGCCTCTTTTTTAATGTTTTACAACCGTGTCCACTGTGTTTGGTCTCCACATATTTATTAAAATTAATAAATAAATAAAATCAGATAGTATCAGTGTCATAGGCTATCTTTTTCCGAAAGAGCTTTCCATATTTCACTCCAACATCACAATATCTTATAAGAAGTATGTTTAGTATACAATTTAACTGTGCTTATATATTGTTTTCTGTCACAATCGTGATATTTACACTCATACAAATGATACAGATTATTTTTAATTATCTAATTTCTCTAAGACTTTAATTTCCCACCTAATTTTAAGACTGTCCTATTATTAGCAGAAGCACTCTAACTTACTACAGGAAAAATTATTTGTGCATTTACCATATACCAAATGATGGTTTGGTGACAATTCAATAGATAGAGCTTTTTATAATAAACATGTATGTAAGGCATAATGACACATTCTTTTTTTGTTGTTGTTGTTGTCTTTTTAAGTCTGACAAATGCACATTTTGAGAGAAAATGGAAGAACATGCTGAATCACAATAATTCCTTGATATGTAAACTATATACTTAGTTTTTAGATATTTTGTTCCAGTATTCAAGAATCAGTCTTGTATCAGATATTGAATGTGGTCTAATTCCTGAATATCGGCTGATGGTTACAGGAAACCACCAGAACCCTCTTTTGATATCCCACAATACCTTCTGTCGCCTTTACTGTGGTTAGAAGCATTGAAGTCACATAATGTGAGCTGTGGATGCATGTTGCTTTAGCTGGTGCTGCACTGCCGGAATAACACAGAGCATCTGTTTAGTGCAGGGTTACAGATGTACAAATTAATTAAATTCATTAAATTAAAATGTAGTCTTTTTCCACCCTGAGTGTGATTATGACACAGATGCTGAAGTGTAAATAGATGAAAAGAGGTGGTTGAAAGACTTCTGTGAGTGTGCACCGTTTGATGTAACACTTTGATCAGCCGTTGTATTGATGGCTCTCTGTTCCTCTCTCCGAGTTCCCGGTTCAGAAGCTGAGCAGGGGCATGACATTGGACACTTAACGCTTTTAACATTGCCATGTCTCTATGAAGCTCAAGTTTGATGCTTGTTTTAAAATTCTTCAGATGTGTTCTAGTTTTGCACCATTTTGAAGAAACTCCTAATATGATAAGACCACTGACTGAAGTTAATGGACACTATTATGGTCTGTTCCAGCTAGTGAGTGTAAATGTATGTTTTGACAGCCTGAGCTTTATCTTTGATCCAGAATGAGATCTTACAATAGGATGTTTTCCCCTGTTTGCATATCTGGTACACAATAGTGTGCAGACAAAGGGAGGACGTAGCATTGTGACAGCAGTTTAGCACCAGTGTTTAACAAGACCTTTGAGCTCAATGTGAAAAGCACCCATCTCCAGTGGTCAGCCTGAGGCCATGTCTCACACGCCAATAAGTTGCTTTTCTATTCCAGGTTTGTTTTTTGTCAAGATTAGGATTTCTGTAATGCATCTAAATTAAATGAGCAATTTTCCATATCTTTTCAAAAATGACTAGTCATCAAGTTGGTATATGGGAATTCAACCATTATCTAAATAGATCTTATGGATCTTATTGTGAACTGTTCATCTATGGATTTTTTTTTTATAAAGCTCAATTTTTGGAAACAGCTTACATTTCTTTGTTGATTAAACCCTGGTCCTTTCTTATAATTTTGCAAGTTTGCATTCAGGTCTCACATAGACGTCCGTCACAGAATGTTACGTTGTGACTTTACCGACTAGTTAAGTAATTGGTTTTAAACGCTGTGTTTCTTAAGACACATTTTTATTTATTTATTTGATCCAAAAACTGATTTACTCACCCTTGCAAGACTTTCGTTCATCTTTCGAACACAAATGAAGATATTTTTAATAAAATCTGAGCCAGTTCTGCACTCTCAATTGACTGTCTTGTGTCTACTCTACGCAACTACAACTTTGACGTTTCAAAAAGTTCATTAAGAGATCTTAAAACAAATCCATTCACATTGTAAACATTCAATGCACACACTGTGGATTTTATGGGCCAACATAACTGAGCCAACAAATAACAGTTGGACATTATTTTATATCACTGCATTATTTGATCATAGCCATGTGAAACACTTTTATATTAGTGTTAGTTTTTCTGGTATATAATTAGTGTTTTCTGGTATATTTAATTCCCATATTTGTTCAGGATGGGGCATTTATAATGCAGTGATTGACTCAACCTTGTCAGTTTGTACTGTTAATATGCTAATCTTCTCCAAAACTTGAAAGCATTATTTTTATCCTGTCCTTACCTACTCCCCACTAAGCTCTGAAACAAACATTAAAGGATTAGTTCACTCCAGAATTAACATTTCCTTATAATTTACTCACCCCCATGTCATCCAAGATGTTCATGTCTTTCTTTTCTTCAGTCGAAAAGATATTATGGTTTTTAAGGAACACATTCCAGGATTTTTCCCAATAATGGACTTCAACGGGGACCAACGGTTCTAAATTGCAGTTTCAATGCAGCTTCAAAGGGCTCTACACGATCCCATCCGAGGAATAAAGGTCTTATCCAGCAAAACCATCTGTCATTTTCTAATTTAAAAAAAATGTATATACTTTTTTAACCACAAATGCTTGTCTTACACTAAATCTGCAGTGTGTCCATGACTACACATTATTTAGTCCAGTTGGTGGTCATCTGTGATGTAGGCGGAAGTACCGAACCAGTGTTTTCCGCAATAACCTTAATTTCTTTTCGACTGACGAAAGAAAGACTTGAACATCTTGGATGACATGGGTGTGAGTAAATTATCAGGAAATTTTAATTCTGGAGTGAACTAATCCTTTCACATCTGGGCATTCAGGGCTCCCAATTCCCATCTCCTTAGACCTCGCTTTGACAACTTCGTCCTTTGAGGTGGTTAGGTGACCTTTGACCCTGCTCCCACCCAGTCACTCAGCCTGACCTGAGTGGAAATTAGATGCGTTGAAATTGATACTTTTAAACACTAAAAGTAAGACTTTAACTTGTTGCCTGTCTGACCGAATACGCCATGATAAAATCATCATGTTCAGCACGGAAGATCGGCTCAGGGAACAGTTAATCTTTTTATCTGGCTAAATCTTTACAGTTGTTTCTGTATTTCAAAATGAGATGTTCATTCGAAAGAAGTATTAATACAGACGCTGACAGCTGGTTGTAGACAAGCGAATTAGTATTTGAGCACACATCTATTCTGCTACTTCTGTGTGTCTTCTTAAACATGCCTCTCACACATGTCCGTTCACGTCTCACTGTTGCTGTCACCGTGCCCGTTTGTCCCGAATAAGGCCTTTGGGGTTGTGGGTGTGCAAACAGTGGGCTTGTCAGATTTGTCCTCTCTAGAAAGAAGATTTATTGTTTTGCTAACACAGTTGCTGTTTGGCAGTTACAGACTTCC